TTTTCCTTTTTCATTTTCATGGCTTCATTTCTAAAGCATTTTTCCTGGAAGTTAAGGATTCATTTTCTTTCGATAAACTTGAAATTACTTTCTTTTGACAGTTACTTTTCAAACTAAGTTTCATAAATTCAACATGTAATTCATCAAAAGCTAATTGTAACTCATCAAACGCAAAAGATTCTTCATTTACCTTATCTTCGTTTCCAAGTGCCATTAAGCATTGGTTAGTAACCTCATTTTTGCAAACTTCGATTTCTGAGTCGCTTTCATCGCTATCTTCTCTCCATGCTACAATCATGGCTTTCTTCTTGTCCTTCTTGAATTGTTTTTTAAGTTGCGGACATTCTGATTTGTAGTGTCCATGTTTGTTGCATTCGTAGTAGGTAACTTCAGATTTTTTGTGATTTTCTCCCCTTTAAAAATCCATCTTGTTGAAGTCTTTTTTGAAAAATTTTGCATGCCTTATTTCTTTTTCACAAACCTTTTGAACTTCCTAGTGATGAATGTCATTCCTCATCATCATCTAAATCATCTTCCTCATCCTCTTGATGTTTTGAGGTGGATTTGAAGGCTATTCATTTCTTCTTGTTGTTGTCCTCCTCTTTCTTTCCTTCTTGCATTATGAGCTCATGAGTTAAGAGAGATCTCATTAACTCATCTAGACTTAACTTTGATAAATCTTTGGCTTCGATAATGGCAATAATTTTTGTCTCCCAACTTTTTTGTAATGACCTAAGCACTTTTCTTATAATTTCAGTATTAGTATATATTTTGCCAATAGAAGTTAAACTATTAACAATATCAGTAAAACGAGTAAACATTTGAGGAATAGTTTCATCAGGCTTCATTTTAAAGAGTTCATAATTATGGACTAACAAATTGACTCTGGATTCTTTAACTTGTTCGGTTCTCTCATGAGTTACTATAAGCTTATCCTAAATTTCTTTTGCGGTTTTACATGTGAAAATTATGTTGAACTCGTTGGGATCTAAAGCACAGTACAACGTGTTTGTGGCTTTAACATTAATTTGAACCATTCTAGTATCTGATTCATTCCACTCATCTTTAGGTTTTGGTACCTTAAGGCCATCTATGATTTTGGTAGGAATTTTTGGACCATTGCAAATAATTTTTCAGCATTCATAATCATTAGATTGAATATGTATGGTCATCATAGCATTTTAATAGCTAAAATTTGGGCCGTTAAACAATGGTGGCCTATTGGATGCTTGTCCCTCAGGTAAAAAATAACTGAGGGTTGCCATGATCTACTCTAAGACGGTTAAGTCACACAAACTAGAGTCTAGGCTTTGATACCAATTGTTATCCAAGGTAGGCAATCTAAGAGGAGGGTAACATTGGGTTATTAAAAAATGTTACAATATTAAAAAATAATAAACGCTATATTCAGAATTTTAACAAATAAAAAATTGAACAATAAGAGAGATAGGGAAACAAAATTAAACACTGAGATTTATAGTGGTTCGGCACGCTGGGCCTACGTCCACTCCTCAATGAACTACCTTGAGAATTTCTTTACTATCAAAATGAATCAATACACCACAAAGGCTTCACTAAGCTTGTAGATTTTATACAGGTCTTATTTTTATCTATTGAGCCTCACTCAATAATAAATTCCTCACTCTTATAAAATTTCTTCACAAAATAATAAATAAGGATAAGAGGTACTTCAACCCTCTTTTACAATAATTCTCTCACAAAGAGTAGATATGAAAATGTAAGAACAAAGACTACATTTAGATCTGAAAGTGAAAGAGCAGAATACTCTCAAAATTTTGGAGCACACCGATTTTTTTTCTCTTCAAGTTCTTGATTTTTCTCTACACAAAACACTTCTATGTATACACAAAAATATATCCGTTGGAGGTAGGACGCTCCTTGATGACGTCATGGATTACGTGGACACGCTCCTTGACAGAACAAAAGGCATCTACTTTGTTTTCAATAAATACAACAAGTGGCACCCTTTTCTTTTGTTAAAAATTGTGGCTAGATATTTGAACAAACTTACTAACATGTGGATTTTGACCATTGTATATATTGATACATACATATATATATATATATATATATATAAAGAATTGAGGTAAAAATAATATGCCTGCAAAGTCCACATTTTCCTTTTTATAAAATTAATTCATATAAAAGATGTAGTTTTAGCATTTCAATTTCAAACTACAACATGTGAAATGTGTTGCAACTTTTCAACCTTTTCTTTTTATATTATATATATGTATATATATATAAGCAAAGGATGTAGAAAATATAAAACACCGCTTTGCCATGTCACTTTATATCTTATATAAGATGCAATTCCCAACTTTGCTAACTTTATATTATAATATATATTTACATAATATATTTAAAGTACGTAAAATAATTGCACATAATACACCTTTGTATTATAATATATATTTACATAATATATTTAAAGTATGTAAAATAATTGCACATGATACTCATTATGTGGGTATATCCTACATACAAAAAGATGCAAAATAATTTTGAATTCAGTGCAATATGTATCAAAAAGATATATTACAATTTTACTCAAAAGAGACAATCATATCAAATTTGTCAAAAGATGAATAGTGATCAACCGAATTATTCAAAACATGAATAGTAAATTTTTCAAAATATTTTTATTTAAATAATATTTATAACAAATGTATCATACAATATATATTTTAAACAGATAATATTTTGTGTCAAATAACATAAAATATGTATATTATTTACAAATTTTTAATTAATATTTTAGATATCATTAAAATTAAACAATATGATTAACATATACATCTAATTAGAACATGCAAAACAAAGCAAAAAACATGCAAAACTAGCAACTTATATGATTATACATGCCTGGTAACTCCCTAACCATGATCTAACACTAAAAACATGATGAAATCATACTTAAAATAAATAAAATCAAAGGACTTACCTATTAGTTTGAAACAAACCGAAGAATAGGAGAAAAATGATAGCAAACTTGCTTGAATGCTTCCCTCAAGCTTTGGCAAGGCTATGGAGGCTTATCTTTCAATCCTAGATCTACTTTTACTTGTAGAGTTACTGTATTAGAAAATTTTCTTTTTTTAAACTAACTCTTGGAAATCCTCAAAAAGGGAGACAAGAAGGTGTATTTATAGGCATGGACGGCCTTGGGGGTCAAAAAAGGTCACCCTAGGGCTTCTCCATCACTAACTTGCAACGGCTCCAATCCAAATTGTAAAACAGTCCCAAATGAAATAAAATTTTGGTTTGTCAGGGTAATAAACGGCCGCACATTGAAAGTGCGCCTGCACATCAAATTGAGGTAAATTTTGGACACATCTCTCTCGTTTGACATTATATTGAGGTAAGTCAACTGGAGTTACAAAGCTAACTCAAAGAGCTACAAGTTTATGTGTCTAATTCCAACTTTTACTATGTGAAAACAAGCCCTAAAGTTTTTGGTACGAAAATAGCAATACAACAGCTCTAAGAACTTCAAGCATCTCCAAAGTTGAAATTATGATACAATTCATCATCGGGAAACATTTCAAGCATCTAAATCTTAATGATTAGTCAAAATGGGGTGTCTACACCCATGTTTGATCAGATCTCTACCATGCTCGACACAGCAGACCTAACGAGTCTCTAACCAGATCTCCGTAGTGCTCAACTGTCGTGAGAATCCTTAGCATGAAACTCATCTCCCCCTCACCGTCCATCTCAACAACGCATTTGCCGTTGCACTCTCGTCAACTCTGGTGTCGATATCTCATTCCTTCTCTCACCGAGTTCATTATCGACCTTGGTCGAATCATCGGTTGTTAGTGTGCCGTAGCAGAAGAGGCATTTGCTTGAACTTTTAACTTTCTTTGTGGGCATCAGATAGGCTCTATGGTATTTCATGGAAGAGAGAGAAAGAGAGAAATCAGTTTGAGTATGGAGAGAGTGGTTCCATAGATAGACACACATGGATTCAAATAAATACAAATGTGTGGGCTGTCCTTACGAACATGAGATTTTCCTTTGACCAAAACAAAAAAGACGCCTAGATCTATAGCCTTATAAATTTATAAATAGGACCTATGGCCTAAGCACCATATTCTATTCTATATATAGGGAAACAAAAAATGTTTAAACATAAACAAAATGATTATCGTGGAAGTCGATCTAGTATTAAGCCAAGAGGGTGAAAGATTTAGGTAATTATGATACAATTGAAAAGTTTTATACCAAAAAAACAAAACCTTATTTATTAATGTGACGCTTATCAACTAGATCTCATTTAAACATTAAAAATTTTATCACTATTTGTTATATAAAGAATTAAAAAAAATTATAAAATAAATTAATTTAGGAAAAATTAAAAAAATAATTTCAGAATTTGACCATTATAACAAAATAATCCCGAGTTTTTACTTTTGTCAATTTAAAAACAAAATAAATCTCGAGTTTTTACTTTTGTCAATTTAAATTTAAATTTAAATTTTTTGATTTTTTTTAAATCTAAACCATTTGTTTATTTCCATTAAGTAAAAATAACAAAATATATATATATATATATATTTTTTGGTTATTAAACTGAATGTAATTGTACGTAAAATGCCTAAATATATATATATTTTTATTGGGTTTAATGGTTAAAATATAATTTTTTTGTTAGTTTTATTTAATAAAAATAGATAAATAATTTAAATTAAAAAAATTAAAATTAAAACTAATAAAATAAAATATTTAGAATTTATTTTTCTATAATAATCAAACCTTGTTTTGTTTTTTAATATAATTTTCACATTAATTTATATGGCTCACATTGAAAGAAAAAAAAAAAAAAATGGTGGAAGAAGCCACACGCCAGTTGTGGAGCTCTTTCCTATAAGTACTACGTGGCAGGTATCCAGAGAAGATTGATATATCAATCTAACGGTCCATATCGCAGAGAGTAACAAAAGTCGCAAACGAGATATACATATATCCAGAGAGTAAGGAGAAGTCGTGGTCCTCACCCTCATCCTCACCCTCACCCTCACCCTCTTCACTCTAAGCTCTTCAAAACTCAAACCCCAAACCCAGAGATTTAGAGAGATGGCGATAGAGGTGAACGCTGTGCCGTTCTCGTACGTGGCGCACGTGCTGGCGATAGCGGGTGCAGTTATGGTGTTGGTTTGGTGCATTCACTTCAGAGGCGGCTTAGCCTGGGAATCTTCCAACAAAAGCCTCATCTTCAATGTTTGTATATCATTTCCTCTTCTATATATTTATATATATTGACAATTCTCTTTAATTTGATTTTATTTTTCTTCCTCTCTCTTTCTGGACAGTTGCTTATATGATATTCTATAGCATTAATTTCTGGGTTTCTAAAGGTGTGTTTGTTTTCGTTTAGGGTTTGAAATTGGTTTTCAGGCTACAAGTTTCTAAATACACCCACTGAATTTCTCTTGTTAAGCATTTGAGTGTAGAAAGAAATTTAAATCGTAGTTAGAGGCTCCCCAATTAAGGGGGACACTTTCTTCTAAAAGACTAGTTTGCCCCTAGTTATAATGACAGTCTGCTGTCATTGAGCGGTTGTTTGGGATGTCCTAAATAAGTGTACTTTTTGTCTTTTTTTGACTAAAAGGTTGAGGAAAAAAATATGGATGTTTGGGTTAATTTTTTGACTTTTTATGGAAAAATGTGTAATAAAAAATTGTAAAATTTGGTTTGTAGAGGAAAATTAGAATTGAGAATTGTGCAATCGTAATTGTTGCTTTTGATGAATAATGATAACTTTTTAACTTTTTGAGTAAATTTTTGATTTTTTGACTTTTTTTTTTTTTTTTTTTTGGGCATTCCAAACTTGGCCTAAGTTAACATTTATAAAATGACAAAAAAAAATTATATTAAGATTTTCAATATATTTTTTATTATTATTATTTTTTTTAATGTATTTTACACATTTTAATACTCGACTTATATATATATGGACCGGCAACTCAATATACTTTTTATTTTATTTTTTTATGTATTTTACACATTTTAATACACGACTTATATATATATGGACCGGCAACTTTTTACATGTTTGACAATCAAAAAGCTATCTTACTATCATTTCTTAATAAATCAATTAATTTTAAGTTATTTTCATTTCTTAATAAATCAATTAATTTTAAGTTATTTTTGTCCAACAAACTTTAGGCAGAAATTGCAATTGGGAGTTTGACTTTGTGCCGACCTCATCGCGTGATGAGTACCACCTACCCTTCTGCACTTACCAAAGCTGTACCCCTCTCTCTCTCTAGCAAATGAATGAGCCAAGAGGCCTTTAATTTCCACCTCACACACACGTTGGGTTACCTTATCTATCTATCCATGATGGGTGTCTGTAAAATATAAATTTTTATTATTGATTTAAAATATAAAAATAATATAAAAATTTACTTTTTTAGACTTGACATATCACTGAGTAAAGTGAATCTAATTGAATAGTAACGATGTTTTTGTTTAAATAATTATTACAGGAATATTTTAAAAAAACTCAAAATATAACCATTATGTTTAGTTGTGAGTCACGTGGTGGTTAGGGTTACATGTTTGTGGTCTTAATATAAAGATAAAAAGATGTATTGGCTTTGGCTGCCTAGTTGAGTTTGTCACTTTGTTATAAAGTTTTGTCTGGTAGCACACAAATGCAAATCCTTTTCTTGGATGGCCCAATTTTCTTGAAAGTGAATTCTGTTTGTTTTTCTCTTTCTTGGTGTACATTTGCGGGCTTTTCAATTCCAATGTGATAAGAATCTGGCAATCTTACGGGTCATAAGTACTATCTTAATTTTAATTTTATACCGAATTTGGTGTCGCCGGAGTGACAACCGTGGTAGATGAGGATGACAACCGCGGTAAACGAGAGTGAAGCTAGTCAACCGCATAAATCTTTTTGTTTATTTTTATTTTTGCTTTTTTTTTTTTCAATTAAAAAATAAAAATAATAATATCAACTGTTGGTAACAACTGCAACAACAATTGCTATTATTTTTGTTTTCATTGTTTTTGTTATTTTTGTTGGCTGCAGTAGAATATATAGTCTTAGGTGCATTTCTAAATTCTAAATGTGATGCTCTTGAGAGAAATCGTGATGTAGAATAGAATTAGAAAGAAGAGGGCCAACAAAAACAACAAAAATTGCTACTATTAAACAACAAAATGTAGTACTTGTAAAGCAAATTAAACAGCAGCAAAATAAGAGCTTTCCCAGCACAAAACAGCAGCCAAAATGAGAGATGGTGGCATCACTGGCATAGTGAAGAGAGCATGAGAGAGGCAAGAAGATAAAGAGATGTGGACCACTGAGGACTAAGGAGACGAAAAGGTTTCGTCGTTTTGTGAATTCCGTTTCTCTTTGGAAGTGAGATAGAAGAGTTGGCGGGGTGGGGTAGAATCAAGGTAACTAACATAAGCTGAAGAGGTGCTGTATATGTATTTATAAGACCAGTTTAGTTCGGTTAGGTTCGATTCACGGTTTTTTTTCGATCCACGGTTTTTTTTAAGTGAATCACTAACTAAATGGTTCTCAATATTTCTCAAACCGGGTCTAGACTGGTTCTGTACAGAACTGAATCAAACCGTATGGTTCATTTTCTGTCTGGACGGGATTACTGGTTCTACCGGATTTATTGTACAATCCTAATTCTCAATAATATAAGCATACTAGGTGGATTCAATTCACGTCTGAATCTTCCACGGACTGGGTAGCTTCAGTTGGTTTGCAGGTTGATAATGGGCCAAGCCAAGGGGAGGCATACACTATGCAGTAGGCGGTAATTTATTCTGATTTTGGATAAACTGACCCATGTGGCCTGTTTCATGTGACCTGTTTTGTTCTTAAGTACAGTGCAGTTCATCAAGTATTGCATATGTTAGTTTGTGAATCTTATGTCTCTTTTCTCTTATTTTTTTCTGAAATACAAGTTCATCTTGTTTTTATTTTGATTTTCCTAATTTTAGTCCTTTTTTTGGTCCCTGATGCAGATGCATCCTGTTTTGATGTTGATTGGACTAATTATTATTGGAGGTGAAGGTAATTAATAAATTTTTGAAAGTTGCATATTTGGTATTATTCCTGAACATGTAATTTTGACACCAAGTGATTTGTAAATTTGTATCCTTATGACTTTATAATGTCTATTGTAGCCATTATGAGTTATAAATCTCTTCCTTTGAAGAAAGAAGTGAAGAAATTAATCCATCTAGTTCTGCATGCTATTGCCCTGATACTCGGTATTATTGGTGTTTATGCGGCATTCAAATATCATAATGAGAGTAGTATTGCCAATCTATACAGTTTACACTCCTGGCTTGGAATTGGAATTATTTCCCTCTATGGCATTCAGGTAAAATTACGATTCCATCCTGGATTACCTGTCAATTGTTAAAAGAAAAAAAAGAAATAGAAATATCTGGAAACATTTTCACGTCGTTGTAGAAAGTTTCAATGTGGAAACTTATTACATTCTTGCTGACAGTTATGTGCGCTCTTTTCTCATACTCATCCACTTTCCAATAAAAAGTTTCGTTAAACTCAGGTAAATCCTTTCTAATTTTGAACAAACTAGGAGGTGGCACAGTTGATGGAGCTGTGGGGTTTCTTATATGGTTTGGGTCTTATAGGGGTGGGGCCTGATGTTATGGTGTGGAATGGGGTGGGGGCCAAGGGTCAGTTCACAGTTGCTTCATTTTATGGGGGTTTGGTGGGGGATTGTGGTCGGATGTTTCCTTGGAAGAGTGTATGGGTGCAGGGTGTCCCGTCTAAGGTGGTTTTCTTTATGTGGACTTTGGATTTGGGGAGGAACCTCATGTTGTATGTGTTGTGCTGATGCGGAGTCGGTGGATCATTTGTTTCTGCATTGTGCAGTGGCTTCGCGGCTGTGGGCTTTTATTTTCTCACTCTTTGGGGTTGTTTGGGTTCAGCCCCAAGGGGTGTTGGATATGCTTTGGGCTTGGCAAGGTGCTTGGATTGGACGTTGAAGAAGGCAGGTGTGGCTGTTGGTGCCGTTTTGCTTGATGTGGCTTATATGGTTGGAGTGAAATAGACGAACCTTTCAAGAGGTTCATCATGGTGTTCTTTGGTTAGAGACTTGGCTTCTTGTAGTTTTGTATAGTTGGTTGGAGAGATCAGTTGACCCAGATTTGTTTGTTTTTTTAGATTTTCTAGATGATATCATTGGGTAGTGCTTGGTTTGGGTTTCCCTATTTGGGGAGCTGTCTTGTATTCATTGCATCATCTTGATACCCTTTCTAATAAATGCTTTATTTATCCCAAAAAAAAATTTTTTTGAACAAACTATTACACCTCCTAGCAGTGGTTCAGAACTCTAAGAACTATGGTTTTGAGCCACATGGTACTGCCAACATTGGAAGCAAGGTTTTGCATATAGGAAAGAAACTTGGTTTTTTAGTGCAATTAAAATCGCAAAGAAACTAGGTTTTTTAGTGCAATTAAAATTGCTATGTACAGAAGCAAATCATATGTAATTTTTTATAGTATTGTCTAGTAAAGTATAAATTAAAGATAAGTACACATACGACCTTTCCCAACTTGCACATCTGCAATAAGCCTGGCAGTCGTTGGGGGCAAAGGTGGCCACCAAGTCATCTTTAAACTTAAATGGGAGAACCAGGGGCCTTGTAATGTATGTTGATTCAGCCCAGTCAATAGCAGCCCAAAGTTTCTTGAGGCTCCTAGCCCAACATCAAAATCAGGCACTAGGTGAGGCCTCGGGGCCTCGGACAAATGGGGCATTTGGCAAGAATGAATTTTTGGCTTCTCTCTCTTTTTTTTTTGGGGGGGGGTCTCTTTTCTCCTTAGGCGAATTGTGAAGTTTCCTATATTATTGAGCCACCTCTGAGTCCAGTCTAAATTGTTTTCTTGGTTACTTTAAAGTTTGCCAGCTCATTAAAGCTAGAAATGGCTCTCTTGATGGTGGAAGCTGGCTTTTAACTTGAGGCCTGGTTTATAATGTCAGCCCCCACTGGTTTAATCATTTTTCCATTCTATAGAATTAAAGAGGGCAATTTGTTTTCTAATTATTCATATTGTCAATGACCTTATTTCCCCATTTTTTTCTCGAAGTTTTTTGGCTAATAATGGGGAGATAATTTTTCAGTGGATTTATGGATTCATTGTGTTCTTCTACCCTGGGGGAACGGATGCAATTAGGAGAGAGTCAGTTCCATGGCATGCGTTGTTCGGGCTGTTTGTTTACGTCTTGGCTGTTGGCAATGCTGCGCTGGGGTTCCTGGAGAAGCTGACATTCCTTGAGAACTCTGGCGTTGCCAAATATGGCTCGGAGGCCTTCGTAGTCAATTTCTCTGCTGTTATCACGATATTGTTTGGAGCCTTCGTCATGTTGACAGTTCTTTCTCGGGCTCCACCTGAAGATGACTATAGTTACTCTACAATATGAAGGCTGATATGATAGGATAGGATTTCCTTATAAGTATTTTATTTATTATCCATGTAAGGGTTGCATTTTTCGGGTGGGTTGTAGTTTTAAGGTGGCATGGGTGGGTGATGATGGGGGTGTATGTAATGTAATATTACTTGTGTTGTGTGGTGTGGGGATAATATATAGCTAAACAATTGTGATATTTATTGATAGTATATATAATGATATTGTGGGTAGTACTAGTCAGCTGTGGGGATTCCTCTTGTTTCACTCTTTTATGGTGTGTTTGGTTGGAGGATTTGAGGAGGGATTTGGAAAGGAAAAGGGAAAAGGTGTGTGAAACTATGTGAAATATAGGCATGATTTATTCACATTTCACCTACATTTTTTATTTTTCTTTCCAAATCTCCCAACCAAACACAGTATTAAAGTGAGGACTCATTGTGGCTGTTGGCCCTATTGAGAAATAATAATGTGAATTGAATGTGGTTTTAGCAAGCAGCTGTTAACACTGATTGTTTTGTTTTTATTTTCACACTAATCAAACTTCAATAGCACTACATCTTGCTTCTAGTTTGATCAGTTCAGTTTTCAGAAGTGCCCACACTTTAGTACGCACTTTTTAGCTTTGCTTAACAGATGAAGAACAGGTGAAAGACAAATAATATTACAAAATTTGGAGAAACTTTGTCTGAATTGATACGGGCTTAAATTTTTGTTTCTTTTTCGCCCTTTTGTTGTTAATGATCTACCAACCAAACGATTGTCTTAAAAAAAAAAAAATTGAGTTTTTTTCTCCTACATCATGCAATTAGAGATAGAACATTAATATAGACATTTTTTTTTATCACGACCCTCACTCTCTATATTTTTTAATTATAATTTTATATCATAACATAAAATACTAATTTTATCCTCATTATTAAACTCTAAATCATTACATCACTGCCACTTGAGACCACCCTCTACTTACAGTAGCCCCCACTCTCTCCGCTACCCCCTACCATTGAAAATCCCCTTCCCAGCATGCCCCACTCCTTTTGCTACCCTCTCAACCCTTTTCCAAGAATTAGCCCATATTTAGTGCTTCATAATGCCCCCACAACCTATCTCTACTCTATAGAAACCCTATTTTAACGGACTCTGGAGGTGTAAAAATGGCCTAACAAAAAATTGGGCCGGGCTGGGCCTACTCACTGGCGCAAAATCTTAGCCTAAGCCCAAGCACATGCCCAGGCCTAAGAGGTACTCAAGGCCTTGGGCGGGCTGGGCCGCCAGGCCTGGCCCTAGGCTCGGACTTGGGTCTGGCCTAGATATTTTTTTATTTTCTTTTATTTTTTTTCACCAAATATTTATTTATTTTTCTCTACCAAAATAGCTTGAAAATGAGATTGGGCCTCGAGCTAGGCCAAGCTGGCCCTCAATACACGGCCTAGGCCTTGGCCTCGGGTCGCGGACGGGCTTCAGGTGGGCCATGGGCTAGTGGGTCAATTTTATACCCCAAACTAACCCTAAGACTTTGGGCTTTTGTAAACCTCTTGATGATGAAATGGCGAATACTTCATCTTTAGAATATTTGAGCATGTTTAGAGTTGCTGTGTAGTCATGTTTTAGTCAAAAATTGTATTTTCATGAAAATGACCATTTTACCCTTAAACTCGTTTTTAGACAAAAACTAACTTTTTGACCCCAAGAGAGAGGGGGAGAGAGAGAGAGACACCCAGTTGTATCTTAATTGATGACATTTTCCAAATTTAGTGACCGATTTTATTAAAAAATTGATTGAGAGACAATTTGGGCTTAGTTAGCCCACAAGAAAGCCAAGGGCATAAGACCCCGCACTTATGCAAGAATGGATGGCACGGACACCAAGGCAACATGTGCACATGCACATGAGTTGTGCGCACACACATATCTTGTGCGTATGCACATCCATTTGTGGTAGAGTTTGTTTTGGAAACTTAATGCAAGTGTAATTTCATAGGGAACTGTAGACACCCCATTTTGGCTGGCTCTAAGATTTGGGCGCTTCCTTTTGATCACCCTGTGATAAAAAAACAAGGTGTTTCTCACGAAATCCTCAACAAGAAAAATGAAATTTGAGCTTTAATCTCAACCTTCACACATTTTTGGCTAAACTATTTTAGACCTTAAAACCCTTTTTTAAAAATATTTTTCCAAATGTTTCCACAATATTCTGAGACTCTCATTTCAATTAAAATATTGCACTTTTCAGTAAACTGAGTAGGACAAAGTGGAAATAAATGGAAGGGAGGTAAACTCTTTAAAAAATATTTAAAAACATATTCTTTATAGGTTTAGAGTTGAAGGAAATAGGAGAGGATGAAAGAAAACTGATTTAGGAAAAGAATGAGCATTAAATCGTTAAGAAGGAAATGAACAGATTTCACTAAATTAGGCATATCTCTTTGTACACTTGGAATTTAGATGTGTAGCCACCACTATTGGAAAGTAGACTTCTGGGGCTTCAATTTAGGCCCAAGAATCACCTAAAGCTGAGTCCAGATAAGGGAGATATGCCCGTTTGAAGTTGGACCTAGAGCAGATTTTGTTGACCTGGCTCGAGGGATATGAACAACCTTCACTAAATTAGGCATATCTCTTTGTACACTTGGAATTTAGAAGTAAAGGCACACCATTGGAAAGTATACTTCTGGGGTTTCAATTTCGACCCAAGAATCACCTAAAATCGAGTCCAGATAAATGAGATATGCTCGTTTGAAGTTGGGCTTAAGAGCAGATTTTGTTGACCCGACCCGAAATAGCATTAGACCCGTTTTATTTATTTTTTTAATTTTGGGTTGGGACACCTCATTGGCCCATTTTCTGATATATTCATCACTAAATGCATATGCACTCAGCCTTCATTATCTAGTGCTTGATCCATTAGAGATAAGGCTCCACTTTTGTCTCCCATTAGCTCCATTAGTGCTCCATTAGCTCCATTATCTTCCTTTTGTCTTCCACCTTGTCTTCCACCATTCTCCACTTGCTTAGCCTATATGTATACATCAGATTGTTGAGAGGAGCACGAGGATAGATAAAAGAGAGAACATTTAAGCTAGAGAAAAGAGTGAAAAAAGAAAGAAAGGTAGAGTTTTTGAGCTAAAACCACTCTTATCTTCCATATATACCCCATACCTTCCATACAAACTAAAATTCCATCTTTTCTACACCCAAAACTCCTCAAAAAATTCTAAAATACTTGAATTTCAGTAGCTTTGATTAAGAGGAAGGGTGAGTGTTGGTAAAAGTGAACAAAAACAAGAGAGATAATCATTTTTCACCATATACACTTTCAAGCCATCATTCTAGCAAAAATTCCAAGCTTTTAAATTGAGGGTTGAGAACATAATTCATACACTTGAGGGTCATCAAAAAGGAAGTTTGGAAATCATAAAGTTCATCCTTTCTTGAAAAGGTGAATTTTCAATTTATTTCATTTTCTTGCATTTCTTACTTATTTTGCTCTTTTGCTTTGATTTCTTATTATATTATATATTGTTGTAATCTAATTGAAAGTGGTGAGTTGAGAGTCTCATATATATTGTTTTTAGTTCTTTTTTTAAGCAAGAGAAAGAGACCTTCCATGATGAATGATTTAATCTCTTCAGAGATTCATTATCAGGGCATTACATCTCTCTCATACCAAGAACAAACTTCTTGTTTGATGCTCCTCTTCATTAGTTAATGTAATTATCACTTTTGGACAAAATGATTAAAGAATGGAAAGGTAATAGAAAAGGCCAATAAAATTGGACTAAAAGAGGCACAAGATAATAAAATTGAGTTGGGTTCAGTCGGACGTCATATTGAACCTAATGCATTTCTTATTTATTTTGCCCTTTTGCTTTGATTTCTTGTTGTATTATATATTGTCGTAATCTAATTGAAAGTAGTGAGTTGAGACTCCTATATATATTGTTTTTAGTTCTGCTTTTGTTGTGGAAATCTAAGAAAATGGAGTTTGACCGAGCCTACTAGGTTACTTGGCCTGTTAGTTGGTCGGGTAGCCATCTAAAAGTACACCATCATGCCCGTGACCTTCATGACCGTACCCGCAACCTCTAGGCAAAACCGGACAATCTTTTGACGTTGAGAAGATCAACCTCCGATGGTCTTTGAGGCACTTGAAATTGCTATTTTGTTATGTTTATTTTATTTTGAGTTTTTGTGAGAATTTTTATATTGTGTTGTAATATTTATTCATCTCCCTCGGATTTGTAATATTTAAAGTGTTGTAATAATTCCCCTTCTCCACTTCTTATCTATCCCATTCTTTAACCGCTATTCCTAACTGTACATATGTATATATCTTACATGCTATGCATATTCATGCTTTTACATACATGATTCATGCCTAGATCCGACTAAATTTGCATCTTTGTGCTTTAATTGATAATTACATGATTTTGTGTGCTATCTCATGTTTTACAACATGTCATATTTTAGAAGCCGGATCTTTAGAAGCATTCTTATGTTTGTATTGCATTAGGATTTTGTATATAGGATCATGCATATTTAACTAATTTTGTTTTGTTATTCACGAGACGTCGGTAAATATGTAAGTTGTTATGGTTTAGCATCCTGTTTTTATGTGTTTTTCTTATTATGTTTAAGCATCCTACCATGTGGCTACTTGCTTACTTGATATAACTATATGAATGCCAGTTGATGGAGGTTGTGTCACTTAATTTGGAATGATGCTGATTTTTCATGTTTGTAAACTCAATTTATTTGGGTTGTACATCTTCAAAACTCTTTCAAAACTACATGAAATTAAGTTGTCCCAAAGTGGGTGACATAGTCTAAACTTGTATGCTTCACATAGTAATTTTTTTTTAAATAATCGAAATATGAACATATAAAGGAAATAAAAATCATATCATGGTTAGCAAAAGCCGATTTTTTGATCGGGTGAGCAGGGGTGCTCAATTAATGACCTTCTACCTTCATACCTAAGGTTCCGAGCCAAGCATCCTTGGTTATGACGAACAGTGGCCTCGGCACGAGTCAGAAGTTTCCTAATTTTTTCAAAATAAATGTTAGGTGGTGACTCTGAGATTTGATGACGCAGTCCATTTCTGGCAAATGGCTTTTTCAATAAAATGAATTTTCTAAAAGTTTCCAAATTTAGACTCTCATCTATGTTTCACATTGCACTCGTGAGACTAGATCAAAAAAATCGAGTGTTCGAATTGTTTAACACGCACGGGTATCCCCTG